GAAAATTATATCATAATAGCAATTTAACATAAAAAAATTAACTTAAAATTAACAAATTTGATTCACCTCGGCTTATATTTTTCCGGTCCTACCATAACTAGGATTAGAAAAAAAAGGACAAAGAAAAAGAAAAGTCTAAGTTTTATATAATAGTAATTTCATACAAAATGAACTCTACAAAAATTTGGACCATCTACTGTTTTTGGATCCTGCCCTATGTAAGGATTACACTTTTACTATGTCAGGTTGTGTTCCTTCTGGATAAATATGCACATGAAAAATATGCCTTCATGTAGCAACAAGATATAATTTTTCTCTTCTATAATGGAAATAAGAATTGTGTTAGACAATGTAGGTGGTGTAGGTTATTTAATGTTTGGCTCTTACTTATTTTAAAGCAAACATTATTTTGCTTTATTTATACTGAACTTGATTAACTCAACTCAATTTCGCAACTGGACTACAGCCATTTCGCTACGATATTTGTAGAAAATCATTCCTTACCCTTCATCTTCTTGTTAATTATGTTTATAATCATATATGATAATTATATAATTATTAAATATATATGCGTATTATAGTATAATAATTTATAATTAACTTCTTAATTATAAAGTATCGTCGTTCTGCTCTTCTTTATATCTTTACATCCATAAGAGCACGTGGAGGATATTCTTTCCGTTCCAACGCTTGCAAGACCTAGAAAAAAGGGAAGTTCAGGAATTCTATAGAGGAAATATATATTCTTGGCCAAATTTTGAATCGATCTAGGCATGTTTATACGCCCGTTTCCATCTATCTCGTCTTAGGTATCTTTCTAAGGGGACTGACTTTAAATTTGTGGAAGCATTTAAATTTCACGCAGCAAGCTTGTTATTGACAACGACCAAACTGGTCAAAGAATGCATCCACAAAGCTCTCTCTCCTTTTACCTTTTATTTTCTCACTCATCTGCTTGCATATGTGCCTTTAGACATAGCGCATAGTTTTGTGAAGAACTCTCTCATTTCAGATTTTAATACTTTGTTTAACAAAAACCAATTTGATCTTAAATGAGTTGTCTCCACTATATTGTATACAAGTCGAAAAGAATCTCTGTACACTCCGCCAAATTACTTAACATCATCACAATAGAGTAACATAAACTATAAGGAGCATTTTTGCACCATACTTTTGGGGGTTAAAGAATAGTTTATTGACAGAGCAATATCTCTTGTCTATAGTTCCTAAAATTTAAGATGAATTGTGCCCACTGTTCCTACAAAATTTATCGCAACCCTTGTCAGTTTTTAAATCTGATTCAGTTATAAGGTATGAGGTATTTTTAGTTTATTATATATTCTAAAATCGGCTATTAAGTAAAAGTATATGGAAAACATTTCGATTTTCTGTTCGATCTTTGAGTGTGGAACATTTAAATTAGGGACGTAAGGATGGACAACCAACCTAGAATTCACATTGATCCATCAAGTACATATATGCATTGCGAGAGTTTTTTTTTTGGTATTTCTCGATATTTTAAACAGAAAAGTATGAACGTATAATAGCATACCGCCATTCATTCATAGTACTTATCGCATGTTAGATTTGTTCATTCATTCCACATAAAATCGATAGAATATCTGGGTTTAGTACATAAGAAAGAGCCTCCAAGCAATCTATGATACATAATAGTAAAATGCGTATACTTAAACATTTTGCTAAAATATGCATACATATAACTATAACGGTAAGCATTTTGTGCACATTTATCTGTTAGGTATACATAGGTTCCTTATACCAAATAGCTACATCCGTGTACTCTATTAATTTTAATATTTTCTGTTCTTAATATATATCCAATCAGTACCTTTAACATGTTTTTATTTAAATTAAGAAAATGAATTATAAGATTGTACAAGTAATTAATAACCAACGTAGGTCTTGCGTGTCCAACTAGCTTTTCGCCTGCTAAGCTTTTAGGTGAAACAATTTCTCAAAGATTGGTCTCAAAACTTTGACTTAAACTGTGAATATCAGCTTTTCATCAATCAGATCATCAAATCGATAAAATAAA